CGAGCCGACAAACAGCTGATCAGCTGTTTGTCGGCTCAGCACGGCAGCCATGTAAATGTAAATGAAGCCGCGATCATTTAAATCCCGGCTTCATTTACCTTTGCTGAACAAACAAATCTACATGCCTCTGCCGACAGAGGCATGTAGTGTAGACGTACCCTCAGACTGGAGGTGGGACAGTATTACAGTGTCCCGGAAAGTCTCATCAACATATCTCTCTACCTCCCTTAGCTCCTCCAGTTCAGCCACCCTGGCCTCCAAAGCCCAAACTTGGTCTCTGAGGGTCAGGAGCTCCTTGCAACGGGTGCACACATACGCCACCTGCCCACAGGGCAAGTAATCATACATGTTACACTTGACGCAATAAACAGGATAGCCCCCACTCTGCTGCTGGGCTTCTGTGTCCATTTTTCTTATGAATAAGTTTAAGTATAAACTGGGCTTTTTTAAATCTCTGGAATATAGATTATTATATGAGTTATGTTTTAAAGAAAGTCAGAAGTCACTAGCGCCCTCTAACCTCCCTCTCCAAACTCCCTGTTAGCTGCTCCTGGTCGCAAGCTCCCTGGTCACTGACTCACAGGCTTATATAGCTCTGGTAGCCCTTCCCTCTGACTGAGGCTCAGCCAATTAACAGAGGCTTCTAGATTTCAAACCTTTTAGAAGCTCCTTCAAATAAACAAACAAACAAACAGACACAAGCTCAGAACACCGCAAATAACTCCCCCATACAAAAACACACAGACAGCCACTTACCACAAGGGTCCCGTTTTTCCTCCTCTTTTACCTGGAGAACTCCCTCTCCAAACTCCCTGTTAGCTGCTCCTGTTTGCAAGCCTTGGTCCTTGCTGCCTCCTCACTGTCTTTCTTACACTGGGATGTGCAGGACCTGTGTACAGTACTGGTCAATAGCATGAGGGGGCTGGTTCTGATTAGCCAGTTTGAGAACCACTGCAATCAATTGTCTCAGAGATGAGGATATTGGTGAACAGTTCATGAAAAAGCAGCATTTTACCTTAAAAGATGGGGGGGGGGTTGTTTGTTTGTTTTGTTTTTGCATCTATAGTCCACCAGACTGACATGTTAAATCAAATCTACAGAAGGAATTATATCTTACAAGTTCAGACTGGTGGACATGAATGCACAGAAATACTATTCTTGTGTAAAAGGTATTTTTAGTATTCAACAGCATCAGTCTGTATATGTTTGAGGTTCAAGTCTCCTCAATGTATGGTAAGTGTACTCTAAGATTTGGTGGGTATCTGATTATGTGAATTAAGTTTGATTGAGGGATGAGACATCATCAACATCTGAGGATTATTTTCATCTGAGGATCAGAAACGGAATCACAAAGAAATCAGTAAACAGACAATGTGAAAAGGGAGCTTAGATTAATGCACTACAAATGTGTGGACTGAGACCACATTAAAGGAATACCATCAATGTAGAGTAAACGCACACTGTATAATATTTCCTTGTAACGAAACAAACTAATAATCTCAGAGTTTTTAAGAGCTATAATGCAGGTCTCAATATGTTTAGTGTTAATTTCAAACGATTTTGTTCACTGAAGTTTTCATGTGTTGTTAAAATCACGGCTCGCATCTGGTATAGTCAGTTTCAGAGGATAACACTCAAACCAAACATGCAGCTTTTTGACAGATGTTTAATTATAGAAAGTTTTCAGACTGAGAAATCATTTGTGGATCTCTTGTTATTTCAGATGTAACTACTTATACACAAATGTGTACTGTTCTGGCCTGTTATCTTCTGCTGAGTGCTTTGACTGTTGGGTGACAACTTGAAAACAGCAACATATTTAGCCAAAAGAGTGTGTTAAGTCTCCTTTGTCACATCAGGCACAAGATGGTCAATAAATCTAAAACAAATACAGTAATGCACATGAAAATGTTAGCTAGTATTTTACATGTAGCTATTTTTCTTTTCCTTAAGTTCCCCAAAGAAAAGAAAAGAAAGAGATTATTCTATCCTGGCAAGTTCTGCAGTCCAATGTCATCTCTCACACTAAAAGCTTTAGGTGTTCCATGGCTTATATTCTCCCTCACTTAAATTTAAGTAGTTTTCAAAAGTTTGAGCTACGCTTTTGTAAATTTAAAAACTGTATAGTTATTTGCTCAAATAATACTTTTCCAAAGATTTTTTTCTCTTACACTCCTAATTGCTTATACTTCAGAAAGTTTGGAACGTGAATTAAGATAGAAATCATGGAAGAGTGTATATAAAGATGTATAACTATATATTACATGTGTATTCCAAAGTAATTTAATGTAACATTATTATTAGAAATATGACTAAAATAATATTTGGTATTGTCAGGGGGTACACCCTTTGCGGGGACCCCCTTATACTGACCCGCGTCTCAGTCTGGGCCTATACCGCACCCCCCAAAGTCCCCAAAAGTCCAGGCCCCTCTATCAGGGGATATATGGTACCAAAGGCCTAGTCCTTCTGAGGCGCCTCTCCTGGCCCCGGGCCTGGTTATCCAGGGGGGGCCTGCGTGGTAGGGGGACCCGGGCCCTCCCTCTCCACTGAGTCCCAGCCCAGGGCCCTTTAGGCAGGGTCTGTGGCTCCTGCCGGCTCGGCGGGGAATCCGGCTGCTACACGCCGAGCCCAACTTTGTGTCCCCTGCCCTGGGCTGCTTCCTACCGCGCCCCGGTTCCCCGGGGGCCTATTGGCCTCTGAGGCAGGACCTGCTGGGGTTGTGGGTACGTTCCGGTCTCCCGGAGTCGGGGTCCGCTTCCTTGGTGTCAGGGTCCAGCACTGGCAGCGGCTCTGGTCCCCGCGGCTGCAAAAACACTGGCCTGGCCTGGTCTCCTCCCTCCCCCAGCTGTCCGCTTGCCTGCTGGGCTCCCTCTGCCTTTATACCTGGCCTCTGCCGGGAGCATGCCCAGCAGGGCCGGAAGGGCGGGGCCCTCTCAGCCAGCTGGGCCTGGGCTACTCCCCCCGTCACAGGTATAAACAACTTTTTCTATTCAAGGAAAGAGGATTCTTTTGACCCTCACTTCAAGCCTCAATGATATCACCCTTACTGCTTTTCATTTCCCTAGAAAAGATTAATGCCTCTCTTTTCTGAAAGCATTCATAGCACTCTAGTAATGCCAGAAGGCAACACCAACATGTAACGTGAATCACTCTCTCGCAAAGGCTCAAATGCATCCCACTGTAAAAGGTACAGCACAAAACTTAAACAGGACTTAAGGTAATGCATAGGTCTTGTGCTGACTCACTACATTGTGATGAATTTCTTCTACACAACAAATGCAGGTGATACCTTTCGTTGTGCTTCCCAACGACCCTACAAAAAGCCAGTTTAATTCATTATTTAGGTTCTGTTCCTTGTTGACAACATTACACCAGAGACATGAAAACAGCAGAATAAAATGAATAGCTCAATACTTAGGGGAATTAACGTGGCATTCACTATAACATAACTCTGCACATATGTTCTAGGCCAGCAATACTATTCTTAAAAACCATATGCCAAGGAAGAACTGTTAAAAAATTCTTTCAAGGGATAAAAGCAGAAAGAGAGTAAGAAATATGAAGCATTTCCAATGATAGACATTACACTTTTTAAATAAATATTTTAATTCTATTATTGGCATTTACAAGTAGAAAGCGTACAGTATGTTACAAATTTATCAAAAGGTGAAAAATACGGATGTTACATAAGTAACAAATGTAAAAAAAAAGTATTTTTCTTACCTTCCCTGAAAGTAAGAAAACTATTCAGCATAGGAAAATATTGATATCAAAAACACAGTTTAGGTAAAAAAAAAAAAAAAAAAAAAAAAAGGTCTTTACACAGTACAATAGGATCTTCAGATCTGCAGGACATGAAAGTTCTTGTGAATTTCTATTTAGCCTACATATTTTAGGAGATTTGGAACATACAATAAGCAATTGTAAGTGAGTCTACTAGGAGTTATCCCTCATATCAGTCCCAAAATGCTAGAGTGCAGTGAATATTTTATACAATAAATAATTCTTCAAAAGTTTCTGTAATAGAAAATTATGTAATGTGGAAAAAGCCACTCCAAGGTCATATTGGCTAGGCAGTGCTATAATAACAACACTTTATAGTACTTTAAGACATCTAAGCACTTTACAGATGTTAAATAACTGACCCTTATAATCCCTGTGAGGCAGGCAAGTAAGCAATATCATGGGGCAGCTGAAACTTTGAGAGACTGAATAATTTGACCCTTGGCTGAGCTGAGATTAAAACTCAGGAGTTCCTGGTATCTTATTGTGGTTCCAAGCCACTAGACCACTAGACTGTCTCTGTAGACTATACTACCTATTTGATCTGACAACTTCCAATCATGTCATGCTGGGAGGAAGTACTGGGAGGAGTGCAGGAGTAGGGGAGAAACATCCAAAATATTTCATACTGATTCAGAAGCTCTCACACAACTTTGTCAACAAAAAATAAATTCCTAAAGTGCTGGACAGCTTGACCTGCTTCTAGCACCTCTTGTATGGGTAAAAGTTACAGCACTGTTGCCAGCAATTGCTCAAGCTTATTTCTTCCTTAAAGTTTACAGATAGAGGAATTGCAGGATATGGTAAATACATTTTTGGAGAGACTCTAATACTGAAATTCCTTCATTCACCTTCCTTCTTCCATGGGTCTCAAGGGAAATGAAACCCTCAATACTCTTGCACTGCAAAACACGTTATTAAGTTGGAGACAACACACGCACTGCCCACAATGAAAACATCTGAGCTCATTTTCAGTTCAAAGCATTAACTTAAAAATCACAAACCAACCAATGGTAAATAGAAAACCCTTTTCAAATGCTGTATGCGGAATGTCTTGTTTTTAAAATACAATGCATGCAGGAGAAATAAGTTCACCCAAACACAATTAAATTAAAATATGTTTTAAGTCTGTTTCAGCAGCATAATGGTTATTATTTTTAAAGTCTCCTCCAACCACACTGGCCTGGGCTTAACATGCTGACTTTCACTTATCTACAACCATACAATGGTTTCACTGTTCCACGATTTTGCATTTTGACAATGCCAGTACATGAGGTCTATACATATTGTTCTGCTTCCCCATCTTTGGAAATGGGCTTTGTTGTGCCACCTTTGCTTTCTTCATTTGTGTTCGCTGCTGCTGCTGCTGCTGCTTTTTCTGGGAGTGATGCCAAATCTTTAAAAACATCCACATAATGTCCAAAGCCTGGACCCCAGTTCAAAAGGTTGTCCCAGTTGAAATTTCCAGTTTGCTGGCCAAGCTTTATGGGCAATGTGTTCTCAGCAATATTAGATGCTGTTGCCTGTGCACCCACAGGCCCACCCTCAGCTCTCCTGCCAGGGTACCTCCTAGGCTTCAGCCTAGCACCATAATTGTCTTCGTCATCTGCATCTGACTCATTAACTTGAGATAATTTGGGCATTCTGGATGTGTACACCATAGGTTTGTCTCTATCATACTCCATTTCTGAGCAAGTAAACGACTCATGGGAGTCACTATCAGATGATGATTCTGGAGCTGGAATACCATCAGCTGGATTCCGTGTTCTTGACAGTGGCCTTCTGCAGTCCTCCTCTGAAGAAGACCTTCCGTGATCAGCACTACAGATGCTTGGATTTCTAGGGCGAGGAGTGTTAAGTCTCTCCACTTCTTCAATAGAGAGTCCTACAGGAGGAGCAGTCTCCAAAGGAATCTGCCCTATTGGTTGCTTTAGGCGACTTCCCGGTCTGGAACCATGAGTTGCTATGGTCTGGGGACTCTTACTTCTTCTCCCTAATCTAGTGGCATAGTTAAAAATGCCAGGCTGGCAGACGTCATTGTGCATCTCCAAAGGACTCCCTTCTCTTATGGACAGATGAAGTTCCCTTGCAGGACTGTTTCTGTAGAAAGCTGACGACTTGGAAAACGGAGCGGGACTATGACGAGATAAAGGGTTGGGAGTAGGGCATGCAGAGTGGCTTAAGGAAGTTGTCCTGAGTCCCTGACCATATGACGGCTGATAAGTCAAGCTGCTTGCTCCCAGTGGCATTGGGGATTGCCTTGCAAAGCCAAGTGGGCTATGCCGCTGGATAGAGAATTTGGGCGTGTGACTCCGGAACTGCTTGTAGTGTTGAATGATGTCTGCGTCTGAAGGAGCAATGCTGCTTGCATTTTCAATGTCATAGTGCTCTATTTCAGGTTCAGGGGAAGCCAGAGGGGCACTAGGTATAGTCTCTGTATTATGGGGGATGTCGGTCTCGTCATAGATAAGGTAAGGGTTTTCTCTTTCAATTATATCAGGCTTAGGGTTCCCTTCAGGCTGCTTCCTGACCGTCATGTCATCGCCATAGGGCGGAATGTTGTCAGGGTCATCAAATGCAACGTTCTCACTCCCTTTTTTCTTCTTTTCCTTTGTTTTCTTCTCCTCCTTTGGCACTTTTGTCTTCTTTCCCCTGCACTGATTACAGAGGATCAGGCTAAGGACAAGCAGGGCAAGAACTGTCGCACAACTGCCAACAATGGCAGGAACAGCCCATAGTGGGAGAGACAGCTCCGCTGGGTGCGGGTGAGGGACACAGACATGTCCTCCATTGAGTCCACCCTTGCACACATGTCCTTGGGGACACAGGATACCCAGACAAGCCACCACCATCTCACATGTTCTTCCTGTGTATAATTCAGGACAGCTGCAGGTAAATCCAGAATGCGCACCTGGTTCACAGCTGCCACCATTCTGGCAAGGGTTGGAAACACAGGCTCCTGGAGGGACACATTTATATGCATACCACTGGTTGATGCACATTAATTCACCCCAGCATGGATTACTGGCACAAATGTTGGGACCTCGGCAGCCAATCTTCACGGAGGAGTCCGTTTTGGATATGGTAGCAGTGCTGTGCTTTCCACTGAAAGGAAGACTTTCTCCACAGTACTTCACATAGGCAATACAGCCATCAAAACCTAGGGAGAAAGAACAAAAGTTACTTTGACACCTCAAGACAGAGTGTCCACTCAGTGTAAACAAAATTCAGCGTCAAAAAAAATTCTCGCAGAATAGTCACAGTAGGCAAGGTGACTTGTATGATGTGTAGAAAAGTACCAAGAAAGATCTACATTATTACACTGCATTTATTATACTCAACACTTACAATGCAACTGTTTTTATACTCTTGTAAAGGGCCAACATTAAAAGCATTATTTTGGCTAGCCCAAGAAGGCAATGATCTTTATTTATTGAAATAGCTTTAATCAGCATGCAGTATCTCCTGCAAATGTAAATTAATAGGACAAGATATGCCCTTAACCACACTCAAGAAACCTTACTGACTTCAGTGGCACTGTGGGGATGTAACTGAGAGCACAATGTGTCCCAATGATTTTAGCATTAAAAATATTTTGTTTCATTTAGGTGAATTGATAATTATCTCAGTTACACTACTATAAATCTGGAGCTATCCACTGAATTCACTGGAGTTACTGCACCTTTGCTTTGGTGTAATTGACATAAGAATCAGTTCCAGTGCCTTCTCACAATTAGCCTCAAATTTTAACAATTTTCCTTCTTTTGGTAGTTATTTGTCTGCCATATTTAATGACTCATTTGCTTATAAATGGCCAATGAAGCAAGCATGGAAACCTGCTTTGAGAAAGTGTTAAGGAGCTAAAACAAGGTTAAATAAAGGATCATTCTAAAGAACGTCTAGCACAACACTTACTTGATATCATTAGTGATATTAAAAAAAAACCAAATACTTTTCATGTACTATGTACAGAAAGGGATAAAAGATAATAACCAGCAAAGCAGTTCAATAATTTATCTGGACATCATTTTCTCTGAACAGAGACTTTTTAAAGATTTCACAACAACTTGCAATTTTTTTTTAAACTGCTAGTCAGAGTTTGAGAGAGCTTGAGGTTTTCCTACTCAATTTCAAACCCCCAAGGGTGCTCAGGTCAACATTTTCAAATCTGCATCCCCAAGCGTAGACATCAAAAGCCACATATAGGTGCTGAAATAACTGACCTTCCCCAGAACCACAGAAAAACTTGGAACATCCCACAGTTCCCAGGGCCTTCAGTATGGCTGGAAAATAAGGACACTTCTACTTACGTGCCCAAATATGGAAAAGTAGGCACCCAAGTTTGAAAATTTGAACTCAGTTTTTAAAAAATTTTAAGTAGAAAATAAACATACATTGTATAGCACAAAGACCCATTTGGGGCTTGGGAAACATCTGCCACAAGCTTTTTAGTTTGGAAATAAATCTCACACCAAGGGAAAAGCTTCAGATTTAAAAAAGGCATTTGCAAGCATACACACTTCTGTCATCTGGTGACAAGATTTGCTGTGAGCTTTGAAATACAAATGAATATTTTTGTGACTGTAGCTTGAGTCTCTAAAATGTGATGTGAACCCTCAAGAGGCTGTTTTAAAGGCTTTATTTTCAGATCTTTATTCTAATTTTGCTTTCCATAGAAACACAATTATTATGTTAAAGTACTTAGTAATCAATGGATGGCTAATTTTGGGGAAATCTAAATATTTTACATTAACCTCTATATCCACCAAATTCATTATCCAATTACAAACCCCTTTCTTTTAAAAGATGGTTATTCAATGGGGCTCCTATATCCAGTGACTACATAGAAACCATCCATAATATTGCCAGGAATACATATTGGCTAAAAAACTGGATTGAAATAAAATTTATAAATTCACTCCCTTGTAAAAAAAAATATGCAAGAGCATACTTCAGACAATCAGTATTTAAATTCCCCAAAAGGAGTTTCAACATGTGTTCATTCTGCAGCCTTAATTTACAACAGAGGCTGTTCCTAAAGCTACACACCTTCATGTCATCCACGATCTCAAACCTTCTTTTTCCTGACTTTACCCTTATCTCTAAATCCGCCTATCACCCTGACTTTGACCTTGGCTTTGTTGAAGTCCTTATTCATGGCTTAACACATTCCTGGCCTATCCAGTGCAATTCATTTTTCTGCTGTCTTCCTAATGTCCCACTATTTAGACAGTAAATGTTCCACTGGGCTACAGCCAGAGTCCTCACCTCTATTGTTTTAGGAAGCCACATTTTCATGGCTTCAGGGTTTCTGAATCTAACAGTGACCTACAGGCAGTCCCCGGGTCACGTACAAGATAGGGACTGTAGGTTTGTTCTTAAGTTGAATCTGTATGTAAGTCGGAACTGGCGTCAGCCGCTGCTGAAACTGATCAGTTTCAACCGCGGCTGAATCTGGACGCCAGTTCTGACTTACATACAGATTCAACTTAAGAAACCCAGGCGTCCCCAAGTCAGCTGCTGCTGAAACTGATCAGTGGCTGATTCCAGGAAGCCTGGGGCAGAGCAACTCTGCCTCGGGCTTAATCAAATTTTCAGATGTGTAAGCACATAATTTGTGAGTAATGCAAATGTGTGTACATTCACAATAATTGGGAGTCTAAATTATGAATTAGGTTGTCTCAACTAGCTATAGTCTGGAGTATAAAGGTGAATGCAAATCTTCACTACCCCGAGGATCTTCTGAAAAGGAATGTATCTCAGTTCTTCCCTGAATTCCCATGTGTTCACAGGAAGAATGCAGCTTACTCTCCACTACCCTGCTTCTGGAGGGTGGGGGAAGGAAAGGTGTTTTCCATTTGAGACATAATGGACAGAGATACATAGGTAATTTTGCTCAGTCTGCTTACACAGTCCTGAAAACCTTATTAGATTCAAGCCCTGAAAAGTTTTGAAATACAGGCAGTCCACGAGTTACGCGGATCCGACTTATGTCGGATCCGCAGTTACGAACTGGGCTTTTCTCGCCCCGGAGGACGGGAGTGGCGGGACGCCCAGATGTGCCGCAGTCCGCCGCCCCCATCCTCCAGGGCGAGAAAAGCTGCTCCCCGTCTCCCTGGTCTGCAGGGAGACGGGGAGCAAAGCCGCGGAGCACGCCCGCAGGGGGACAGCTCAAGCGTGCCCGGGCTGTCCCGCTGCGGGTGTGCTCCAAGGCTTTGCTCCCCGTCTCCCTGCAGACCAGGGAGACGGGGAGCAGCTTTTCTCGCCCTGGAGGATGGGGGCGGCGGACTGCGGCACATCTGGGCGTCCCGCCACTCCCGTCCTCCGGGGCGAGAAAAGCCCAGTTCGTAACTGCGGATCCGACATAAGTCGGATCCGCGTAACTCGTGGACTGCCTGTATTTCAAAACTTTTCAGGGCTTGAATCTAATAAGGTTTTCAGGACTGTGTAAGCAGACTGAGCAAAATTACCTATGTATCTCTGTCCATTATGTCTCAAATGGAAAACACCTTTCCTTCCCCCACCCTCCAGAAGCAGGGTAGTGGAGAGTAAGCTGCATTCTTCCTGTGAACACATGGGAATTCAGGGAAGAACTGAGATACATTCCTTTTCAGAAGATCCTCGGGGTAGTGAAGATTTGCATTCACCTTTATACTCCAGACTATAGCTAGTTGAGACAACCTAATTCATAATTTAGACTCCCAATTATTGTGAATGTACACACATTTGCATTACTCACAAATTATGTGCTTACACATCTGAAAATTTGATTCTGAATATCCATAATTATTTAGCCACAACTCCAATCTTGACTTTCTCTCGGTCTCCACACTGTAGCTTTCATTAATTATGGGGTGATGAAAGAATAATTATTTCACCAATATGAATCTGGAATTCTCTTCTCAACTGCAATTTACGAACCTTTTTCCAATAGTTTTTTCAGAAGAGGCTTTTCCAAAATTTGGCCCATCTACACTGAGCCAAATTTCAGAAAAGCCTCCTCTTTTGGAAGAGCCCTTCTTCCTTGTGGGAGGAGGAAGAAAGGGCTTCTGAAAGGGTGTGTCTGCTCTTCCACAAAACAAGTGGAAGAGCAGACGCGTTCTCTGGACGTGGCAGAGTTTTTCCGGGATACCAGAGAAAACCCCATAGTGTAGACACAGCCTGGGGGTACATCTACACAGCATCATTATTTCTGAATAAGTGCACGTCTACACTACAAGCCTATATTTAGAAATAATGGTGAGCTGGAGGACTCATAGTTGCTCTCATTTCACGAGGAGTAAGGGAAGTCTAAGGAAGAATGTTCTTCCTTCAACTTCCTGCAGTGTAGACAGTGCCTAAAACTGAGTTAAGCTATTTTGATTTAAGATGTGCAATTACCGTAGCAGAAGTTGCATAGCTTAATTCAATTTTAGTCACAGCAAAACTTATATTTCTTTTCTCCTCAGGATGCACTGTGTTTAGAATGCACTGTGTGATGGCTTGTCTGCAGGAGGCTATGTAAAACAAATTGCATCTTAGAGAACACAATAAAAATTCTTGAGAAAGTAGGGAAAAAATAAGTGTGCCAATCAAATGATGAAATACTGCAATTTGACATTACAAACAATAGAAAAAAGTAAACATTGTGTTCATTACTTATGCTTCAGAAAGTTTCAAAAAATGTAAATATTATGGTTGTAGGTAATAGGTTACAAATATTTATTCTAGCATTACTATAAATTGTGGAGGACTCTAAAAATGACTAGCATAGAGATAAATACTATGAAAACTGACTGCTTTGAAATAGCACATTTAGTCAAGGCACACTAGAAAGCAGGATTGACTTAAGATTTCAAAGGACACTATTTTAAAGACTGAACATACTGATGTCAGAAATGAGAGAGTAGCTGTTTTCAATATCAAATTTGTGATCAGAGATGCAAGTCACATTTTATTAAGCATACTGCCAAATTGTACTCAGTTTCCTCTGTGAAAGAGCTGTGTATTCTTTCATCATTGCTTTAATATTCATTTTCTCCTATTTATATATTTGTAAATACTGGGGAAATTGATGATTTAGGTTCATGTTGGGAACCAAATACAATGAAGGATTTACTTGCTTAATTCGTGGTGGTCTCTCTTTCTACCTGACATCATCTGCAGGAATTGTGATTTTGTCAAGACTACTTGAGTATGAGTGCATTACTGGATTTACAAGTTTCACATCTCTGGGACTGCCCCCAACGTATGTTTTTGTCTGTCTCTCCCAGTACTTCAGATATTTTCAAAATTCTGAGTTCACATAGAGTTTTATATCTCCCCCTTGTAAATCTTTGGTAAGTCATACACAGTGTAATCCAATATTAAAAAAATGTTGGATTGTTCATTCCTAATGCAAGCCAGACTCTCATAATTTGTTTATTTCTTCACCAATGTGTAAGGAGTTACTCTCTTCATTTTAATTTTAATTCCTGCTTTGCTACAAATGTCTCTATTTGTAATGCACAGATTGCAGTTTGGACATAAAATAAATATGTAAAAAAGATGGGGTCAGATATGGCATGCATGCAATTTCACATCATATCACAATTTGTATCAATTCACTATTGCGGAAGACATTTCATTGGATATTGTAAAAAATATAGTGTGATATCTTTCAATAGTTAAATTAATTTATCTGGTGAAAATACTTTGAGTTAGTCAAGCTTTCAATATGAAGATTGATTTTTAAACATGTCTGCTCTGCCTGGCATACCTCACAGTCTGCAGTTAAAAATCATGTCTCTTCTTATTGCAAGAAGAATATCAGCTAAAAAGATGACCAGTACTGTTGCCAGAATTTTATACTACCATGTTCACTCTCTGAGGGTATGTCTACACTAGAGTGTTATTTCAAAATAGTTATTTCGAAATAAGATATTTCAAAATAAGGCGTCTACACACAAAATGCATTTCGAAATAGCATTTTGCTATTTCAAAACAGCATCCACACTGAGTGGACTCTGAATAGCATTTAAGGCTGACGATTCAGTTCCAGCAGGGCACCAGGTCAGGACTTATTGTGTAGGGCTGCTGCCTAAGGCTATTTGAGGTCTGTACTTAAAGAGACCTCCCTGACCAGCCAGTTCTCAGGTTTCCCTCTTGCTTGTCTACCTAGCTGAGGGACAGCAAAGCATTTTGTCTCTGTGTGTGCTCTGGTTGCCCTCATTCGGGACACCACAGCACTCTGCAACATGGAGCCAGAGCTGCCCGTGGGCACTCTGGTGCTTCTCGTAGATGCGTTGCTGTGAGTTGGGCTGCACTTTCTGCAGGCTGCCATCCGGATAGTCCACAGGGGGTCTGTCAGTATCCAGGATTCCTTGCAGAAGAGCTTCCACTCTGAGGAGCACTAAGAGCCTCCCTGGTCTGCTCCACTGGGGACTTGTGCCTCATTCCTCCCTCATGTCCTTCCACTTACCCCTTCCTAATTCCCCTTCCGGATGTCAGATAAAATACATGTATTTTCATGAACACAAACTCTCTTTATTTAACAAAACAGCGAGGAGAGGACTGAAACTTTGGTGAGACTGGGGGAAGGATCTGGGAGAGGGGAAAAGAGAGGGTGGAAGAGGGGAGGGGGAAACCTGGGAGGAGGGAGCTGGAAGGGGAAAGCAAGGGGAAGAAGGAGGAGACGAAGCTCAGGGCTCAGGGCTGGGGGGTCTTGCCTGACCAACTTGATTTTCATGAGAACCTGCTCCTGGGTTCTCATGAGGCCTTTGGTGGCCAGGCTGGAAGCTATCCTGTCATAGATGGCCATGTTCCTCCATCTAGTACGGAGATCATGGGCATTGGGGGCATCCCCCCAAACCTGAATAAGGTCCATGATCTCCACGCTGGACAAGGAAGGCGCCTGCCTTCTCCAGGCACTGGTAGGCTCCTGGGAGCTGGCAGACTGCTCCTGGGGAGCAGTGGAGGGTTGGCTACCAGTGGCTTGGTGGCTAATGTTTTGGGGCCACTGGGTCAGGGGCAGTGATTGCTGGCTCTGGGCTGGAAGGCTTGGAGCTGGCACAGGCACTGTAGCCAGAGTCAACCCCTTTAAGGACTCTGGAGAGAGGGGAGGGAGAGGGATGTTCTCGGTTGGGGCTGGAGTGGCCATGAGGGCACCCTGGGAAGGCTGTAGGCCCCCTATTTTGAAATAAGTGTCTACACAGCACTTATTTTGAAATAGCTATTTCGAATTTGGCGTTATTCCTCGTAGAATGAGGTTTACCAAATTCAAAATAAGCGCTCCACTATTTCGAATTTATTTCAAAATAGCGGTTTGGCTGTGTAGATGCTAGGAAAGTTATTTCGAAATAAGGGCTGTTATTTCAAAATAACTTTGCTGTGTAGACATACCCTGAGGGAACTGATCTATTCTCACATTTTATGATGTTCAATGAGTGTTTCTTATTGAATTTTTAGTTTGTTTCTCAGATGAAGAAAAAGAAATATTTATTTCTGACAGCAGCAAAAAAGATAAGGAAGTTGGAATTGCAGAAATCATTGTAATGACCTACATGACAGCCCAAATACTGAAGTTCTTACCAAACCTCTATGGAGGCAAAATTCTCATTAGCTGAGTAAAACAGTCCTGAGACCCCTTCCACTCCCTAACTCCCTTCCCAAACCTGAACCTTACACCACCTGCCACATGCCAAACCTCTCAGTCCTAGCCTTGCATCCTCTCCTACATTCCAAACTCTGCAAAACTGTCATTGATTTGAAATATAAGATATCCTGACTTAGGTTCTCTAGAATTTGGCCTAGTAATAATCCCTACACTATTAAAAAAAACATCTTTAGTAAATGGGATCTCAACATCAAGTCACAAGTGTAAATGTGACCAGTGTTTCATATCTAAACAGTTCATTCCTGTCAGGGAAGTGGTTTTAAAAGCTGTATAGATATGTATAGATACATAGACATGCATTCTCTTTTCCACCTGTCTCTGTACTTCTGGGAGTGTGGCTTGGCGGGATTCCTCCCAGAGAAACTGTAAGAACATTAAGCCCTCCAAAGTCTTGGGTGATATGAAGAATCTCTCTTCTGTAGATTTTGTCAATGGACAGAGCAGTGGTGGATCCATTCTTTTCAATAAGGAAGGAATGCCATTGACCATCTGCAGTGTAAACTTCAGGAATATTCCTCTCCACTTTCCCACCAACTCCAGCATCAGACGTGTAATGCATTTTGCCATTTTTTATCTACACATGCAATGGAAAAGCAAATGATAGATTATTAAAATCATAACAACATACCATGAATAAAATACAATATCTCAAGGGTACTATTTGATCATTATAATCCATATCATTTAACTATTATAAAGGAAATGAGGAAAAGCACTGACCATTTTAATTACACAAATGAAGATGAATGTCCCTAATATGTAATGCCACCCGAATGTGTCTTTAGTAAGATTCCATCTTTTTTTTTTAAAACCATATTATATTACACTAATATACAAAGAAGACACATGATAAGGGCACTACAAAAAGTTATTATTTCTGGTACAAAGTTAGATAGTTGGGTATAGTCAATAGTGTCTCATATATTCTTGTTGAAGAAATCCCTAAGGGTGAACGTACAGGGCTTTGCCTACTCTGCTGGCTTTTGCCGGCAGAGAATATGCAAATGAAATGCTGATTAGCATCTTGTCGTGCATCATTTGCATAATCTATTCAAGCCAGTTTTGCACAAGGGTTTTTTGCACATAAACAAGAGGGTGGACATTTCCTTTTTGTGCAAAAACCCCTGTTTCTGCAAGATTCTTATGCCTCCAATACAAAAAAAAAATCTCACCTTTGTAATGTCAGTCACATGACTAATAACAAGACCAACACCATTTGTTAGATTCAAGAGTTTAAAAAAAATTATTTGGCCAAATCTGCACTCTGCTATATTTTAATTATTAGTTCTTCACTTTTCTTATTTGATCTTTTAAAGCTGAAATGGAATGGAACCTGAACGTTTTGTCTTTTATTTTTCTTTTATGCAAAAAGGGAAAAAAATCGCATGACGCAACATTTTCAATGCCCACTGAAATTTTAAACCCAGAACTGTAATTTTAACGCCACGTTATATAATTCTTCTACCTGCCAACAACCAGTACATTCCCTAGTGATTTATTACCCTTAAGAGCTATTTATTTTTCTTTAAAATTCCTTGTGGCCAATGGTAACAGACACATAAATAACATGATACTGCCATACAGAAAATATAAAATTTCCAGTGACAAGACTGGATTGTGACTTCTTCAGTCAGAAAAAAGAATGTGGCTCCTAGAGCCTTGAACCACACCATATTTCTAAACTAAAAATGAATGGTTTATGCTGATAACACTTTGAAGGATCCCATTTCTGGGTTTTATTTAAATAGCAGTGACGCTGGTAAATGAGCTAGAATGAAAAGTATGAATTGTGAAGCAAAAACAAACAGAACCCAAACTATGATGATCACCTAGCTGCACTGTTAATATCCTAAGGGTATGTCTACACTACAGCATTATTTCCAATTATCTTATTTTGAAATAGTTAATTCGAAATCATTTATTTTGAAATAACACGTCTACACACAAAATGCATTTCGAAATAGCATTTTGCTATTTCAAAATAGCGTGTCCACACTGAGTGGACACTGAATCACATTTAAGGCCAGCCGGAACCAGGTCCAGCAGGGCATCAGGTCAGGAGTTACTTTGTGTGGCTGCTGCCTGAGGCTATGTGAGGCCTGTGCTTAAAGGGGCCTTCTCCCCTCCCCCCGGACAGCCGGTTCTCAGGTTTCCCTGCTTGCTTGTCTACCTCGATGAGGGACAGCAAAGCATTTTGTCTCTGAGTGCTCTGGTTGAACTCACTCGGGACACCGCAGCACTCTGCAACATGGAGCCAGAGCTGCTCCTGGGCACTCAGGTGCTTCTCGTGAACACACTGTTGTGAGCCTGGCTGTACTTTCTACAGGCTGCCATCCGGGAGGTCCATCGGGGGTCTGACAGTATCCAGGAGGCCCTGTAGGAGAGCTTCCACCCTGAGGAGCACTATGAGCCTCCCTGGTCTGCCCCACTGGGAGCTTGTGCCTCATTCCTCCCTCACATCCTTCCATATACCTCTCCCAACCCCCCCTTCCTGATGTCAAATAAAATACACGTATTTGCATGAACACAAACTTTCTTTATTTAACAAAACTGGGGGTGGGGAATGAAACTCTGGTGAGACTGGAGAAAGGAGGCAGGAGAGGGGAGAAGAGAGAGTGGAAGAGGGGAGGGGGAAACCTGGGAGGAGGGAGATGGAAGGGGGAAGCAAGGGGAAGAAGGAGGAGGGGAAGCTCAGGGTCTCGCCGGACCAACTTGATTTTCATGCAAACCTGCTCCTGGGTTTGCATGTGGCCTTTGGTAGCCAGGCTCAGGGATGGGGGTCTCGACGGACCAACTTGATCTAACCTGTTCCTGGGTTCACATGTGGCCTTTGGTGGCCGGGCTGGCAGCTCTCCTGCCATAGATGGCCACGCTCCTCCATCTAGTGCAGAGATCACGGATGTTGGGGGCATCCCCCCCAAACCTGAATAAGGTCCATAATCTCCACCCTGGACCAGGAAGGCGCCCTTCTTCTCTGGGCCCTGGAAGGCTCCTGGGGTCAGGCAGACTTCTCCTGGGGAACAGTGGAGGGCTGGCTTCTAGTGGCTTGCTGGCTCATGTTTTGGGGCCACTGGGTCAGGGGCAGTGACTGTTGATTCTGGGCTGGCAGGCTTGGAGCTGGCCCAGGCACTGTGGCCAGAGGCCACCCCTTTAAGGGCTCCGGGGCGGGGGGAAGGAGAGAAGTGTTCTTTTTTTGAGGCTGGAGTGGCCACCAGGGCACCCTGAGAAGGCTGGAGGCCCCCTATTTTGAAATAAGTGTCTACACAGCACTTATTTTGCAATAGCTATTTTGAATCTGGCGTTATTCCTCATGGAATGAGGTTTACCAAATTCAAAATAAGCGCTCCGGTTTGGCTGTGTAGACGCTAGTAAAGTTATTTCAAAATAACGGCTGTTATTTCGAAATAACTTTGCTGTGTAGACATACCCTAAGATCTTATGGAACAAACCGCTTCTTATTCTTTGTTCACATTTTGGTATTTTGCTTTACATTTCTTTCCCATATTAGTTGCAGTGATGATTTGCGGGAAGGCTTTGTGAACAAAAATTAGTGCAGTTCTAGAGTAACAATCTGATGATGGTGCATGTCCTTCAATTCACTCACAGTGATGAAATCAGTGAGATTTCCACCATGAAGTGTCTAAAGGTTTGTCTATAATGCATCATAGCACGAAATAAGATACACAATCTGAGCTACGCAAAATATGTATCTTATTTTGATCTTATTTCAAAATAGCTTATTTCGTACAGTGCCAAATTTCAAATTAACCCGCTATTCCGAAACTTCCCTTACTTCTTGTGGAATGAGGTTTATAGGGATGTTGGAATAGTGAACCCAAAATAACGGGCTTGCTGTTAAGACATGGAATAGCTATTTCTAAATAATCCCGTATCCCAAAATAGTGTTGAAGTATAGATGTACCCTAACTTATAATATTCCTTTTGCTATATGTGCTAAGGATTGATAATGGCAGAAATGACTTTTTCTCGATTATAATTGGACAAGCTTCAAGTTCTGTCTAATAAGGAACATGACAAGATGGAGCTGGCCCTTTGGAACCATGGCTCATGACTGCTCTTGGATTATTGCAGAGATCTGTAGCACCTATGGCATGCTGAGGTTTCAGGGGATTTATTTAATTTCAGATAAGGGTCCTTGTTGAAGTCTTCATTCCTGGTGACATTTTTTGAGCATTTAGCATCAGTGAACTGGTGCCAGAATCAGCAAAGGATACTTTAGAGTTTAAAAAGAGGGGAGCAATAAGTCATCTGCATCATGAGGATGTCGCAAAGGCTATGTCTACACTACACCGCTAGTATGAACTAACGGGGGTAATGTAGTCATCCGCAGTTGCAAATGAAGCCCGGGATTTGAATTTCCCGGGCTTCATTTGCATGAAGCCGGCTGGCGCCATTTTTAAATGCCGGCTAGTTCGAACCCCATGCCGCGCGGCTACACGCGGCACGGAGTAGCTAGTTCGGATTAGGAACGAGGAGTACAGCTAGTTCGGATTAGGAAGCCAAATCCGAACTAGCTACTCGGTGACGCGTGTAGCCGCGTGGCACGGGGTCCGAACTAGCCGGCATTTAAAAATGGCGCCGGCCGGCTTCATGCAAATGAAGCCCGGGAAATTCAAATCCCGGGCTTCATTTGCAACTGCGGATGACTACATTACCCCAGCTAGTTCGAACTACCCAAACAGAGCAGAGAGAGCAAGTTGAATTCCGAGTGCTGCAAGAGGATGGTGAGACAGGGATTTTCCTAATCTTAGTATTAAGGATTTACATAGCAGTGAGGTTAACTACAGATGGGCCTCTCTTTCTTCAAAGTAACAGGGGACACCCCTCACAAAATTGCAGTTTGTAGCTGTCTTAGGACCATTGCCCACAATGATAGGGTTCCTATTAGTGCATTTGGCTCTCACTCATTCAAGGTTGGAGCAGTGGCAGCTGTGAGCCAACAGTGAATAGGGGATAGAAGAGTACAGGTAATTGGGTGCTGGCATGTAGGAATGTAACATTCTGTTTAACTGGTTAACTGCTTAAACATTATATTTAACTGGTTAACTGATTAAAAAGGGTGTGCCCCCCTTGCCTGCTGAGGCCAGATGGAGCCCCCTCAGCCCAGCCCATGGCAGGCCTGGGTGCATTGCAGAGAGGGGCTGCTCTGGGGGATAGAAGAGTACAGGTAATTGGGTGCTGGCATGTAGGAATGTAACATTCTGTTTAACTGGTTAACTGCTTAAACATTATATTTAACTGGTTAACTGATTAAAAAGGGTGTGCCCCCCTTGCCTGCTGAGGCCAGATGGAGCCCCCTCAGCCCAGCCCATGGCAGGCCTGGGTGCATTGCAGAGAGGGGCTGCTCTGGTCGGCCAGAGCAGCCCCTGACTGTAGGGAACCTGGGTCCACCACGGACAGGGGCTGCTCTGGGTGACTG